TACTCACCCCCCAAGTCCTCAGTCCTTCTATACCATCACCCGGGCACTCACTCGCGCACTCACATGGGACTCCACGTGGGTATGTATTGTTCACCGCCGCAACCACGCTCGGTGAACAACACCGAGGCGGAGAGAAACGGGTATATAAATTTCCTCCGTCACTCTTCACCTCGCCCTCATCCCACAGATCGTCACAGATGCCATCACGACCCAGGCATCTGGGCTGCCGAGCCGTTACCAACTCTGACCCGCAACTGTACGCGCTCGGGCGTCCTACATGCCGTTCCGCACACTCGCCCCGTACAACAATCCCGTCGCTGCTCCTTGCACCGAATTTAGTGTTCTCCCGATCTCCTCTGTCCCGAGGAGCTCGCCCACCTAGCACGTTTTCCAATTCACTATCCGATAGCGATTCACCTGCCGTCTTCCGACCAGTATCCAGAGTCGGTCTGTTGTCGCACTCGGCGGCTTTGCCGTCTACAGATGGACGACCATCCACAGATGGACCACCGTCCACAGATGGACCACCGTTCACAGACGGACCACCGCTCACAGACAGACCAGCCGCAGAGCGACCGTCCACAGAGGGATCACTGCACGTCGCTGACTGCGGTTTGACCACAGAGCCATAAGAACAGGTCAGCGTTCTCTCCCAGGGAATCTCTTCGTTAGCTGAATCATCGTTCCTTTCCTTGCAGCTTACTTTGTTGCAGCTTACTTTGTTGCAGCCTACTTTGTTGCAGCCTACTTTGTTGCAGCCTACTTTGTTGCAGCGTACTTTGTTGCAGCCACTATAGCTGGATTCATCTTTAATATGTTCTTCTTTATTATAGCTGTATTCTTCCCTCCCGTAGTCCTTGCTACCTGCATCAAGGCGCTTGACTTCGGATCCTCTGGGGAAGATGGGGGCTCGCGGAGCTTCCTAAAATGGTTTAGCTGTATAAGCTCGGCATCATTCAAGAAGGTGACGCCATCGTGACCTCCTAATACAACTGCCAGCGGGAAGGGCAAAAATTCCAATCTAAAATACTGTGCCTCCAGTGCCAGTCTTTCCGATTCCGTAATATCTCTAGCAATCGGTAACCAATATGGGTTTCGAAGGAAATTTAATATTAAGCTGAATAACGCAGGATCACGGTCAATAAAGATAGGCATGCTGATGCCTTCATGTCTTCCACTAATAAGATCACATAGGAGTGATCCTCTTTGACTCTCGACCGTGCTCCGGCTCGTTTGAAACAACTGTCCTCCTACGTTAAATTCCACCATGCGACTTTGGCTCAACTTAATATTCCTTACCCGACGATTCTCCTCCTCAATTCTCTTCATCGCCTCTGCCAGATCGCCCTCTACCTAAAAACACAAATGTCCTGTCGGTGAACACCTGTCGGTGAACACCTGTCGGTGAACACCTGTCGGTGAACACCTGTCGGTGAACACCTGTCGG